CCACCGGTTCCCGGTCCAACCGGTCCGACCGGCCGGGTCGGTCCGGGTTTTAAAACACTGCTTTTATTCATGTAAAATAAAAATAGATATTTTTTTATTTATAAGCAAAAGTTAATTTTAAATTTGATTTTATACGATTTTCATCAACATATCTAAAATATGTTTTTTTTTACTTATTTTATTTAATGATAAATAAAAAAATAAAAATACCTATTTTTCCTTTTTAATTAATTTTGTGAAGATTTATTTATTTTAAAATATGATAATATAAAAGATTATATATCATTATAAATTATAAATTGAAAATTAGAATATTTAATAGAAATATAACATAAATAATTTTAAAAAAAGTGAAATTCTTTAAATTCTCTAATGCTTCGTGACGTCTCTTCTCTCTATATAAATGTTGTGTCACTCTCTCCTCTGACTCTATATGACTGACTCTCTGCTGAATCACTTTCAGGAGTCACTCTCTTCTCTTACTCATTTTCTTTTTGTGCGGTGCAAAAACCGGTGGATATGGGTATTACAGTTCCTCAATCTGATGACGTTGTGCAGATGGAAGTGATGTGTCACTCTCTCCTCTCACTTTATAATTATATGACTCTCTTCTCTCATTTCCATTCTCAAGAGTCACTCTCTTCACTTACTCTTCATTCATTTCCAGTGTAAGAGTCTTCTCTCATTTTCACTGTCAAGATTCACTTTCTTCTCTTACTCTTCATTCGTCTCCGGTGTCAAGAGTCTTTCTTCCATAGCACTTGTCTTCTAGACTCTTCTTTCCCTTTTCTTCTGTTTCTACATACTCTTTTTTCTTGTTCTTGTTTGTCTTTGTTACTAGTCAGAGTTTTTCTTTGATTTTTGTTCCTTTTGTGTGCTGCAGAAATCGGTGGACATGAACTTTACCGTTCTTCGCTGGTGACCTTCTTTAAAAGGTAGAAATTAAAGTGATGTTATGCACCGGTTCTTCTCTGTCTTTCAAATCAATTTTTTGTATCATTTATTTCAGATTCTTGTTTCATTTACTTCTCATTCATGTTTGTCTTTGTTATTGGCAAGGGTTTTTCTTTTTGGTGACGTTGTGCAGATGGAAGGTAGAAAGTAAAGTGATGTTATCATTTCCATTCTCAAGAGTCACTCTCTTCTCTTACTCTTCATTCGTTTCCCGTGTAAGAGTTTCTCTTCGAAGAGTCTCTTCTCTCATTTCCATTGCCAAGAATCTCTCTTCAAGAGTCTTTCTTCGATAACACTTGCAGACTCTTTTTGTTCTTTTTTGTTTTTGTTATTCGTGATAGTATTTCTTTAATTCTTGTTCTTTAATTCTTGTTCTTTTTGTGTGGTGCAGAAACCGGTGGACATGAATCGTTCCTCGCTGGTGACCTTCTTTAAAAGGGTTAAGATAAAAAATATTGGAATTTATTGAAAATAATAAATCTTAGTGAGTTATAGGAGTCACTGAAATTTGTAATTTTCAATAAATTTCAACTATTAATAGTCTTAGACAAAAAATATGGGAGATTGCTTGAATCTTATTGAAAATAATAAATCTTAGTGAGATGCAGGAGTCACTGAGATTTATAATTTTCAATAAATTGCAACCTATTAATAGTGTTAAGATAAAAAAATATTGGAGTTTCTTCAAAATAATAAATCTTAGTGAGATGTGGGGGGCATTGAGATTTATAATTTTAAACAAATTATAGTTATTGATAGTGTTAAGATAAAAAAATTATTGGAGTTTATTGCAAATTATAAATCTTAGTGAGTTGCGAGAGTCACCGAGATTTGTAATTTTCAATGAATTTCAGCTATAAATAGTGTTAGACAAAATATTTGATATTGCTTGAATCTTATTGAAAATAATAAATCTTAGTGAGATGCGGGAGTCACCGAGATTTATAATTTTCAATAAATTGCAGCTATTAATAGTATTAAGATAAAAAATATTGGAGTTTATTTTAGTGAGTGGTAGGAGTCATTGAGATTTGTAATTTTCAATAAATTTCAACTATTAATAGTCTTAGACAAAAAATATGGGAGATTGCTTGAATCTTATTGAAAATAATAAATCTTAGTGAGATGCGGGAGTCACCGAGATTTATAATTTTCAATAAATTGCAGCTATTAATAGTATTAAGATAAAAAATATTGGAGTTTATTTTAGTGAGTGGTAGGAGTCATTGAGATTTGTAATTTTCAATAAATTTCAACTATTAATAGTCTTAGACAAAAAATATGGGAGATTGCTTGAATCTTATTGAAAATAATAAATCTTAGTGAGATGCGGGAGTCACCGAGATTTATAATTTTCAATAAATTGCAACTATTAATGGTGTTAAGATAAAAAAATATTGGCATTTCTTCAAAATAATAAATCTTAGTGAGATGTGTGAGTCATTGAGATTTATAATTTTCAATAAATTATAGTTCTTATTAGTGTTTAGATAAAAAAATATTGGAGTTTATTGAAAATTATAAATCTTAGTGAGTTGCGGGAGTCACCGAGATTTGTAATTTTCAATGAATTTCAGTTATGAATAGTGTTAGACAAAATATTTGATATTGTTTGAATCTTATTGAAAATAATAAATCTTAGTGAGATGCGGGAGTCACCGAGATTTATAATTTTCAATAAATTGCAGATATTAATAGTGTTAAGATAAAAAATATTGGAGTTTATTGAAAATAATAAATCTTAGTGAGTTATAGGAGTCATTGAGATTTGTAATTTTCAATAAATTTCAACTATTAATAGTCTTAGACCAAAAATATAGGAGATTGCTTGAAATTTATTGAAAATAATAAATCTTAGTGAGATGCGGGAGTCACCGAGATTTATAATTTTCAATAAATTGTAGCTATTAATAGTGTTAAGAGAAAAAATATTGGAGTTTATTGAAAATAATAAATCTTAGTGAGATGCGGGAGTTACCTAGATTTGTAATTTTTAATGAATTTCAGTTATGAATAGTTTTAGACAAAATATTTGATATTGTTTGAATCTTATTTAAAATAATAAACCTTAGTGAGATGCGGGAGTCACCAAGATTTATAATTTTCAATAAATTGCAGCTATTAATAGTGTTAAGATAAAAAAATATTGGAGTTTATTGAAAATAATAAATTTTAGTGAATTGTAGGAGTCATTGAGATTTGTAATTTTAATTAAATTTCAACTATTAATAGTCTTAGAGAAAAAATATGGGAGATTGCTTGAATCTTATTGAAAATAATAAATCTTAGTGAGATGCGAGAGTTATTGACATTTATAATTTTCAATAAATTGCAGCTATTTAATAGTGTTAAGATAAAAAATATTGGAGTTTATTGAAAATAATAAATTCTAGTGAGTTGTAGGAGTCATTGAGAAGGTAGGACCAGATGCATACTATATGGAACCAACATCATGTAACGATGATGTTGTCGAGACATAATACAGAATCTTTTTTGCTCTTACCGTGAGAAGACTTCATCTCCTTCCAGAAAGTTCTTTTTTCTTTCAAGAATTATTCTTTCTATCTTGATTCAACTTTCTGATTCCTTTTGATTCTTCACAGGTCAACAAAGGCATCGCTGCCTCAGAGAAACCATGCTGCCAGCCAAAAATCCCAACAAATAGAGGAATATGTTTATTTTGGGTAATAATTATGTTCATGTAAAATAATTACAACAACACCATCTTTTTATTGCCACAGCTCCTTGTATGTTGTTCTCCTTGTTGGCACTTAGAAGGCTAATGCAGTGCATGCAATGGTTACTGTTGAGGGCTTTATTCTTGGGTTGCTCAAAAAGACTGTCTTGTCCTTGCTGCAACAGGATCTGGTTTTGTTCTTTAAGTATTCAATAATTTTGCCTTAGGACATGTTTGGATAATTTTTTCTTGAAACACTTTTAAAAGAGAAAAATAGGAAATAAAAATGAAAATAAACTTTCCCATAAACTAAAACTGACTCATGCATGAAAGAAAAGAAGATTTTGAAAAAGCTAATAAGAAAGAACTTCTACAATATGGCTTATGCATAAGTTAATTTTAGTTTATAAAGAAATTTATTTCATATTTACTTCTTAACTTGCTACACTTAAAGTGCTGCCAGAGAAGTTATACTAAGAGACCCTTACTTACCATGTAGTGTAGCTTTTGTGCATTTGTTTTTAATTATACTTTTGGCACAGGGAAGTCTCTATGCTTTCAGATTCCTGAATTGTTGTCTTGGAAAGTGGTGGTTGTGATTTTGCCCTTGATAAGCTTCATGCATGACCAGTGTTTAAAACTAACAAAACATGGAATCAATGCGTGCTTTCTTGGCTCGGGGCAACCTGATGATACTGTTGAACGTAAAGCAATGAGAGGCTTGTATAGTATAGTTTTGGTGTGCCCAAAGACTGTGTTGAGGTATGGTTTGGATCCTTGATCTGCCTGACCTAAGTTTCAATGAATAAAAGTTGATCTTGAAGTCCATTGCATGTCTTAGAAGTTGGCTTTTTGACTCTTTTAATGTTTTGTAACTACAATGCAATGTTCTGTAGATCGATTCAACCACTGCAGAAGCTTGTTGAAAGTCGTGGTATTGCTTTTTTCGCAATTGACGAGGTACATTGTGTTTCTAAATGGGGTCATGATTTCTGTCCAGACTACAAGTCTGTTTTTTGTCCCTTATTGTTTGTGGCTTGCTGAGGCTAGCTAGAGTGACGAGTTTACTTGGAGCTTCTTAAATGATTGTAAATGTAAATTGTGGTTTGCATATTGGTGAGATTTAGATCAGTTATTGGTTATTTTGATTGGATATCATGCATATTTCATTTGTTCTTTGTTTGGTGCACACGTTACAATTTATTTAATGTTTTTAGTCTACTATGAATGGCATAAGTATGACCTATTTTAAAATTGTTTTTTTTGTTTTAGCCAACTATCTACGGACTTCATTTATCTCTGCACTATCTCCATCTGTAGTGATTGTTGCCTATATAGGTCCTAACTTCCTATGTTGCTATTAACAAGGTAGGACCAGATGCATACTATATGGAACCAACATCATATAACAATGATGTTGCCGAGACATAATGAACACTTGAACAATAAGAAGACTTCATCTCCTTCCAAAATCGTTCTTCCTTTTCTTTCAAGAAATATTCTTTGTCTTGATTCACCATTATGATTCCTTTTGATTCTTCATAGGTCAACATTGGCATTGCTGCCTCATAGATCAACAATGGCATTTCTAATTCCAATGGTATTGCTTTATTTGCAATTGACGAGGTACATTGTGTTTCTAATTGGGGTCATGATTTCTGTCTAGACTATAGGTATGCTTTTTATCCCGTGTTTCCTTATTGTTCATGGCTTGCTCAAATGAATTGGATTGATGAGTTTACTTAGAACATCTTAAATGATTGTAAATGTAACTTGTGATTTGCATATTGAAGAAATTTAGATCAGTTATTGGTTATTTTGATTGGTTATCATGCATATATCATTTGTTCTTTGTTTGGTGCACACTTCACAATTTATTTAATGTTTTTAGTCTACTGTGAATGTCATAAGTAAGACCTATTTTAAAATGTCTTTTTGTTATAGTTGACTGTCTGTGCTGCGGGAAAATTTTAGTGTTAGTATGCTAAAATCCCTGAAATTTGATATACCTCTGATGGCCTTGACAAAAAATATATGGTGGAACATCAAAGGCTTCTTATGCAAAAGACTTTTATGAATTGATTAAAGAATATGGTGGAAAGCAAAATATTGATGGAAATGAAAAGGCTTTCATCACAAATGATTCAGATTATGTTTCTCATAGGTCTGATGCTAGTAGTAGCTCTAATACAGACAGTGTTTAAAATCACTATGCATGGCAAAAGAAACGAATGTTGTTCTTTATCATTTTTTCGATCTAATTTACGCTTCATGGGGAGTTTGTTAATTATAACGTACATTCATGTTTGAATATACAATCTTGTTACATTTTAGATTTATTGTGGCTTCATATAGGTAAAGGATAGTCGAACATCAAAGGCTTCTTATGCAAAAGACTCTTATGAATTGATTAAAGTATATGGTAGAAAGCAAAATATTGATGGAAATGAAAAGGCTTTCATCTCAGATGATTCAGATTATGTTTCTTATAGCTCTGATGCTTGTAGTAGCTCTGATAAAGACAGTGTTTCTCCTGATGATGTGGTTGACAACCAAGATGATTATGAGATGATTTTTTAATGGGAAGAGAATTGTTAGTTGAGTTCTTTGAAAATGATATTGATGTCATTCAAAATGTGGATAACTCAGATGGTACAAATGTTGTTGCTATTACTGTATTTATCACAAATAATTTAGTTAAGAAATTGAATGCAATTTTGATGCAAATAATATAGGAAATCAGTCACATTGACATGCATAATTCCTAATTGTATGCATTTTTACATTTTATAAATGCAGTTACCCATGGTGAAAAGCCTTCTCACAAGGGATTGGAATTATCTGAGGCTATTGATCCACCTAAGAAACCAGAAGGAAGACTTAAATTTCTTAAAGA